CGACTCATATATTGAAGTGAGAACTAATCAAAATTTAGAATTCCAAATACAAGTAAAATCATTTAAACAGTAATAGTATATGAAACAAGGAGATGAAAAGAGAGAATATTCAACTGACCTTAGAGACCACAACAGTTCATCAATCAAATCAACATCCTTAATTATATTTCATTATTATAAAAAACACAAGACTTTAAACTTTGCAAGCAAAACCTTTATCAAATTACAAGTTATAAGATACAAATTACTGCAATAATTAACATAACAAGCATAATTGTTCCGACATTCATATATAGTCTTATAAAAACTACCCATATGCATAATTCACATAATTTGATCACCAAATATTCAAATTACACCAAGAAAAGCCAAAAATGCTTCGAAGATTCATATTTAAAAACAAACCCAGATAAATATTTCACAAAATTTGATCATCAAACATCCAAATAACACGGAACAAAAGTACAAAACCAAAATTTTCAGGAAAAAAAAAATCCCAAATCAAGAAATTGTAACAAACCAAGAGGGTGCTCGAATTTGAATGAACTTTTAGCCATCTCAGCACTCAAAAAGGTAGAATTGATACCAGCAGAGTAAGAGTCTGTAGGCATGAGCGAACTAGCGAAGAGGAAGCGTTAAGCCGTTAACTAAAAATCAACCAAAGTTTCAACCAAAGTTTAATAAAATTAACTAATTAGACTGAATTAAATTAAAGATTAGAATTTTAAACTAAAAATTAGAAATCAACTTACTAGCAAAATGAGAATAGGAGATTAGAAGAAGGCTAGGGCTTGAGGAAGTCCTTGAGGAAGTCTGGCCGTCTGGTGAAGAATGAAGATGAGGCGAAGTATTATTATTATAATGCTTTTTTCTAATGTTCAATATTCTTATTTATAGCCACAACCCTTAAGCTAGCTTGTCCCCTACGATAACAATACAAGTATGCGTTTCCAAAAGAAGTGGAGTTGGAGATGATTGATGAAGGATTGAAGAAGTGAAGAACTGGAGTTGGAGTTGATTGATGAAGGATTGAAGGGAAGAGGCGAATTGGCGATTTGGCGAAGAGAAGAACTGAAGAAGGCTAGGGTTTGAACTGAATTCGGGATTTGGGGAAAACTGATTTTAGTTTTTTTTTATTTTTTATTTTTAAAAAAATAACTTAAATTTTTTTTTGGGCCTGGTGAGTCACTTGACCCACCAGGTCTAAGCCCAAGTCCGCCACTGGGCGTCGGGGTCGTGGGTAGGTAGGGGCTGGGCTGGGCTAGGTTTGGGGGGGGGGGGGGAAGAAGTAGGTGGGTTTTTTTTTAAAAAAAAATATGAGTATTTTAGGCATTTCACTTTTCCCTTCCTTTTAAAACATTAACCATAGTTAATATTTTCTTAAAATGTTTAACTAATATTACCACTTAATTAGTTTTATAACTTATATATTACCAGAGATAATTTGATATTTTAGTGTTTATCATTGGAAAAAAAAAAAAAAAACTGATGAGTACCATTGAGAATTTCCCTAATTACTTTAATGTTCGATTACTTATTGCTACTTTCCCTAATTGTGTAAGAATAACTTCTGAAAATCACATATTTGAAGAGTAGACAATGTGACGAATCTAATAAAATTCACTTGACTATGTTTTTTCTCATACATTAGTGTAATAAGTTTAGTCAAACTAACACATTAATTCAAATAGACTATATCAGATTTTAATATTTTATTAAATACAAATGAATGACTTTATTTTAAGTGAAGATAAGTTTCATCAACTAAAAAAAAAAAAAAAGATGGCATTATAATTCATTATTAATTTTGCTTAATATTTCTTTGTTGTTTATACAATATGGTTCTCTCTAACACTACCCAAGTACTAACTCAAATCCTACTTATTCCTCATCATACTAGGGAACAATAGAACATATTTGATCACATTTTGATATCATGCATAATATAGATGGTAAGAAAGAAATACAGCCTACCAGCTGTCAATTGCTAAATGGGTAACTAAGATTCAAGCTATGAAAAATCTTCCTACGTGGCATTAAAATGGGACCCATATAATCTTTAAAAACCAGCAAAAACAAAGCAATAGATATATGGATATAACATTAGATAAGGATAGCAAAAACCATTTCTCATTGGCTAATCTCCATCTCTATAAGACTCAAAAGCCAATCTTAGCCGTTGGATTACCCCACCAAAAAAAAATCCAAGTCACCAAAATAACATATCATTCCCAATAAACAAGAGCCACAAGACATGCACTAGAAATGAAATTACAAGGGATAGTGTAACATAACATCAACATTTTGTGACACATCTTTTTTTTTTTCCTGCCTAGCTAACAAGCTAGTTTGGTTGAATTAATATTTGATTGATCAACTGAGGATGGCAGCAGTGACTACACAGGCTTCGATCGCCGGTTTCCGCCCGTGCGCATCGAAATCGAGGTTTTTGACTGGTGTTCCAGGGAAGCTTAACAAGGAATGTGGTCTTAGCAATGTTAGGTTGCCCTCTACTACAACTACTAGTTCTCTTAAGGTTGAGGCTAAGAAAGGAGAGTGGTTGCCTGGTTTGGCTTCTCCTGACTATCTTACTGGCAGGTAACATTTAACACTTAATTAAATTCTTTTAACTATTGTTGATCAAGTCTTCTAAATTAACAACGGAATTATTAAGTGTCAAGAGTATTTCATGCATGGTAAAAGCAATTTATTTTATTAAAATTGTAACCCCTTTACTTGTAATAATTAGTTACATGATAGTACGGAACATGAAATGTTTAAAAAAAAGTTGTCGTCTTTAACAAAAATTATGTAATGATTAATGATTGATTTTGTATTATGTTCTTGTTAATATTAAGTGATGAAGAGTAGATAGAAACAAGTATCAGCTGTTATAATACATATTTAGGCAAAATAATTTAATCATAAAAAATTAAAGGCCAATGCAATTATGTACATTAAACATTTAAAATCATGATTGTTGTTGTTTTTAACTGAGTAATAACAAAGTTGAAAGAATCTAGCTGAAAAATTATTAATAACAAGTTGCCTTAAGAATTGTGACCTTAGTTTAAGCCAATTATGTCAGATGTAGATGATTAGATGATATTTGGTGAAGTAGATAGACAATAATTTTGTACAGATTGTGTACAAGTTGTAAAGAGAACATAACACTTTTGTGTACAATATAATTCAGTCTTCCAGGAGACAATGGATTTGATCCCTTGGGACTAGCTGAGGACCCAGAGAACTTGAGGTGGTTCGTGCAAGCCGAGCTAGTGAATGGCCGGTGGGCGATGCTTGGAGTGGCCGGTATGCTGCTACCAGAGGTGTTCACAAGTATCGGAATTATCAACGTGCCTAAATGGTATGATGCAGGGAAGTCAGAGTACTTCGCCTCATCATCAACCTTGTTTGTGATTGAGTTCATCTTGTTCCACTATGTGGAGATAAGGAGATGGCAAGACATCAAGAACCCTGGATGTGTTAACCAAGACCCGATTTTCAAGCAATACAGCTTGCCTCCTAATGAATGTGGTTACCCTGGTGGTATATTCAACCCTCTCAACTTTGCACCTACTCTTGAGGCTAAGGAGAAGGAGCTTGCTAATGGTATCGCCTTTTTCCTCTTCTAATGCTTATAGTATGCAACTGTTTTTTGTTCTCTTTTCAGTAAGTCGATTTGTGGAACCTAGACTAGGCCAAGATCACTACGTACATCCCTACCTTCAGAAATTATACTTATGGCAGGAATAATAATTGGCTGTTTTAGCTAAATATGCAGTTGCTTAGTGAAGTAGGACTAGAACTTGAGGTAATCTGATGGAAATTTGTGTCAAAACCGAGCTGATCTTTGTATGATTCATTTTTGGCAGGGAGATTGGCAATGTTGGCATTCTTAGGATTCATCGTGCAGCACAACGTGACCGGAAAGGGGCCTTTTGACAACCTTCTGCAGCATCTATCAGACCCATGGCACAACACCATTATCCAGACATTGTATGGTAACTAAGTCCAACTCGACTAGTAGAAGGAAAGACCATGTTATCATAGTTCTTTTGTAACAATCAAATCTTTTGTGGACTGTATGATATTGAGCTTCTCTGGTAATTATTGAAGGGTTTTCAATGTACAGGACAACTAAAGTTGGCACTTCTGTTTTTACCTACCTTAGCTTTCATAAAATGATATCTTTACCCCCCTTATGAGCAGCACACTGACATTCTCAGACTCCTGAGCTACTTTCAATTCAGAATAACCAACTCGCATTTAGCATACCCAGTATCACTCGATTCAAACTCAAACTATCTGAAAATTAAAATGAATACAAAGATCGGATTTACCATACAAAACTCTGAAAATCATAATTCGACCTGATCCAAACATCTAATAACTCACCACCCAAATGTGAATGAAATTGAAAATACCCAAACTGACCCCGTTTGTCATCATTGTAAATGTGATTACCAGGTTACATCAATTTGTTGGAAGGTTACAAGTCTAGTAGTTCCTTGGAGAAGACCAATCTCGATATCTTTATAAGCAAAAAAGTGTAATGTATTATGTGATTCGGAGCATGTTTTAAGTTACAGTAAACTCTGCAGAGTGCAGAACTCTAATTTACAGGATCGGTCACTAGAAACCTCAGCAAAATTGCCCCAAAATGGGAAGAAAAACCAAAAAAAATGAGATAAAGGGAGTAAAAAGGCCCTATTCACAGTTGACATACTTTGTATTTTTTTTCAAGAATGTGCTACATGTATCCACCTATACTTTCTATACATAATATACTATACAGCAAGTGTTATGGGAAATCAGACAACCCACCAAATCAGACATCCACAAATGTATCATCCAGAACATAAGATTTGATTAGTTGAGCTTTTATGCTCCCATAATTGACATTCATCGCAAATTTAAGCTTCTGCTAACATGCGCCCTATTCTTTTGGTGGCTATCGTGGATTAGCCAATACCTCAGTCACAAATTAAGCTGCAGCAAGATTAAAACAATTATTAGTTAAATAGTATCATGTCACAACATAAATTTTTTTAAACACATACAAGTACTAGTTTAGAAAAGTGTGTCAGCATCCTGATTTTGCTGGCTTTTTAAAAAATATCTTTGCTGTGACATTGTATTCTCACGTTAAGATGTTATCAAGCAATTATGGAGCTATTAACCAATATATAACCAAAAAATAGAAATCATAAAAGTGTAAAACTAAAACTTCATAATATACAAAAGGCTCATGCCAGAAAATTTTTCCTTTGCTTATGAAAGGATCAAAATAAACTCCCAGGATAACATCTTTCACAGGCAACCAACACACTTGACAGTAATTAAATTAGCCTAATTCAGGTGAACCATGTAAAATTAAAGAATTTGGATGATAGGGAAGTAGAGGTATCCATTTCCCCTTGTTTGAAAGGAAGGAAAGAAGAGGGGAGAGAGAGCAGGATCAGTTTTACTCTCCTTTAAATAAACCATATCCTAGGATTTGGTAGGAAAATGCACTAATGCACGGGTACACATTCCCTTGCCTTGCCCTGCCTTCCCTTCCCTTACTCATCCCCTCCTTCCCTTCCCTCCCGTCTATTTACTTTATAATTGTTACGCTGTATTTGACTTCTAGTCCAATTGAAGCTTGGGTTGTCAAGTCCATGAAAGATTATTTGCCCAAGAATTAAATGCCATCTATCTGCTGCATTCTTCATCATAAGTTAGAATTTTTTTTTTTTTTACCATTGAACTTGTAGTGGTGATTGGCAGCTAGAGGAAGATGTGCAAGATATAAGGAGTAAGTGTTAGCCAAGACAGGCCTAAAACCAAAAAAGGGAATGCGAGTCATATGGTGTACAGGTGACAGTTTAATCCCCGTGGTCTTTGGTGAATAACCAAATAACATGATTTTCACAGCATGGCTATTGGCTAGACAGAATTTCAGATTCTTGTGGCTTGGCAAATTGTTTAAATAGCTGTAACTTGTTCGAAGGAAGAAGAATAAAGAAAGAAAATTTTTGAAGACAAACCAGAGAGCCATATGACAGCATTTGAGCTTCAAGAATATTCTTAAGACCGCATTATCATACACCATTAAAAGCAATAATGAAACTCTTTTAACAGGGAACCTAGAAAAGAATGGCAAAAATCAAGATATCGGACATGGAATCAACCAACACAATATCAGATGCTATTGAGAACCAACCTGTGGGTATGAATTTTCATTGAACATAGGAATGGGACATTGCAAAGCAGCAGGAGCCCATGGTTGAGGCCTTGTATCATATATAGACCTAGGCATATCAAATTGACCAGGAATTTGGTAATCCATCGGATTGCCTTGAAAATTGATCCCATTATCTGGCATCACTTTCTTCTCCTCGGGCAGATTAATATTTCCATATGGGGAGTATGGATATTGCTCGCCAATTTGAACTCCCATGCATGCATTTGCAGTCAGCTCATTTAAGCTACCACAATCTTGTCTTGCGTTCTCACATTGTCTGGCATTTTCCATTTCTAATTTGGCATCGCCGTAGTATCCAGAGTATCCAGGTAGAGAAGCATCACTGGTACACTTCATGTCTCTAAAGAAAACATTGATAATATAGAACAGACATAAGTATATTGAAGAAAAGGCAGAAGAAAGATACTGCTGCTGTTGAAAGAATTAATCATGATATCAATTTTACAACACAACACATAATGATAACTTATTAACAAAATCATGCAAAGTACTGCATGACTATTTTATACAATTTGGCAAGATAAATTTCAAGGAAGTAAAGGAATAGGACTCACCTATGAGATAAAAAGTTTGGGTCTTCAGACAGCAGTAAATGTTGATTGTCATTACTCGAAAGCCATGATAACGGCTGACATTCTTGCATACTACCCATCATCAAAGGAATATGCATCCCATTCTGAAACTGAAATATGAACAGTAATTGTATGATCTTCCAAAGACAATGAAAGTATGCTAGCCAGTAAAAGAATGATTTCCATCACAATAAATGTGTAGGTAGTTACCTGGTTACTGCAGTCTAGAGACATAAATTGGTGTTTTCCAATATTTTCCTGTTAAGTGAAAATTCCATGCATTAGTTACAAATGAAGATCGGCAGTTGGATTATAGGATTAGTTATGACTTATTACAAGATTGTAAGTATATCAACAAAAGAATTCTTTCCTCTAAAATTTATAGTAAGGAAGTTTTGCAACAATTTTCTAGCACAATGTCCATATATACTGACATTAGGAAACCTTCGCCCATAACTTCACCCCACCCTCCAATTCTTTTTGAAAAAGTCAACGTAATGATAATGATAATGTTCCTTCTATCCTGAAGCTATGTTAACGTTTATCATTTAGGGATTCATAGCTATGTTACAGTTTAACATACTGCCTTTTGTTCTCTCTAATATATCTCTTTAGTTGGAACCACACCCACCCACGTTCTCGGCCTACTTCTTCTCCCTCCTTACTCTCTGTGCCCTAAAGCAATGTAAACTTAGCTCTAATATGGAGGTAGTAGTAGAATTAAGCTATGATGAGGTAAAGTGAATGGGAAAATAAATAAATAAATGCAGGTGCAACATATCTGTACCTTGTGTAAGCGGATTTGGTTAATTGATTCCTTCAAGGAGTTTTCCATCTGCCGTAAATGCTCCACATTGTCAATCTTATCAGGATTACTCCAACAGCTGTCCAATAAAAGAACCATGGGAAAAAAAAAAATTATGGACTGAAATTATGTTCAACACACAATGCCTTTATTAACAGACAGACAACATGATACTATCATCCTGTGCATCCAAACATGGTACAATTGAGGTTTACAGACTCCCCTATATCATTTCCATTATAGTAGGCCAAACAATGCAGCACATCAAAAAGGATAATATATAGGAATTTCACTGCAAGTTCAACACAGCTTCATTTGGCAGTGGAAGAAAAGAAAGCTCTAGCATTCACCATTTTTGTGAAATTAAAAAAACTGCCAAGTTTTCTAGATAGCAATAGAAACCTAAACAAGATTACTAAATACCTCTCAAAACTAGAAACATATAAAAGACACATTACGAATAGCATTCATCATATTAGATCAATGGCACAAGTGGATAAGACACAGAGGCTATGCATAAAGCATAGCAAATACTTCGTATAATATTGGCAGGTTGAGCTAGAACATTGAAAACCTCAACAATAATGAGGGAACTATATTTAAATACTTTCATGTACACTGCAACAAATTTGGAGCATAGCCTACATGAATATGTGAATGTTCCTGCCGGAAAACGCTTAACAAAAAGCAATACTTGTATAGTTAATAGTCAAAGGTGCACCTCAATCGCTTATGTGCTTCTGTAATCTGTGCTTGCAACAGCCCCACTTGGTTAGCCAGTTCCTATTCAAATCAGCAAATGAAGCACAAAGAAAGAGCTAGGTCTCATGTAAATCATTCAAGTGAATGAGCAACCAATCATACCTCAGCCGTTTGACCACTGCAAAGCAAAATATAACATCAGATCCTTTCAAAGTTTGTTCTTTTAATGAAGATACAAAAAAAAACTTATAATTGCATACCTTGAAGCAACAAAGTCTTCTATATTTACATCATGGTCACACTTCTTAAAAGTTTTCTTTAGTGCCTATGTATAAAAGAAAGAGAAATAAAAACGCATGCATAAATTCAGAATACAAAAATACAATATAAAAGACAGCTAGACCTTGTAACTTGAAGAAAGGGAATTCTTACTTCAAGACTCTCCAATTTCCTGTTGCAACAAATAAACAAACATTCAGACACGATTTTCAAATCAAAATCTCAAAACTGGTGTTAATTATGCAAAAGTTAATTCAAACCTCTTTGCCCTTTCTTGTGGAGTTAATTGAGCAAATTTGGTGATGACTTCTTCAAGGTTGCTGAAAATGCATACAGGTACAAAATTTCAAAAACATAATGATAGAATACACTTCGATAATGTTTTATATATTAAAAGACTTGGGTAAATGATTGCCGTTCTCTACACAACACAACTAGTTATCAGCAGAAGTAATATCGACATTATAAAGTTTAAATCAAGTAAGCACTACTATACCCTTCACAAGTCAAAGTGGCTTCATAGCAATTTAAGAGCAACCTTCGTAACATACATAGTTAATAGTTTCTTACTTTCATTATAATCCTTCCTAATCATGTCACTAATTAAATTTTCAGACATTTGTTCTTCCAAAGGAAACATGATTAGATACCATCTCACTTTATCCCCTCTTCAAAATCACAATATTATACAGTTTAAACTTTAAAGTCATACATACATACATTGATGTAACATTGACAAATAAGAAAAACCAAGCAAATTAAACAAGATAGTAACAATATAATTATACCTACGCTCTCCAAGGAACAATGTTGGCTTCTCTGTGGGAGAGAACATGAGCAAAACAATGTCTATGTCACATAAGATAGCTAACTCCCTAGCTTTCTTAATGATTCCGGTGCGCCGTTTCGAGTAGGTTACTTGACGGTTGCTACTGCTTTCCAATCTTTTAATCTTTAGTTTAACCCTTCCCATTCTTCAAGATTATCAGCAAATGCTCTCCGGCCAAACAACCGCCAATCACCTTTGCAACTTCTTTTTCTTATGCATCCTTAACAACACAAACTTGTCAAAATTAGCACATTTGTCAACAACATAATATAGCAAATAACCCACAAGTTTAGCATGTTAAATGGTCTCGCGGGTGGTACCCAACACCTGAGATCGAATCCCGTCTACATTACATAGATTAATAATTTGAATTTGGATTGTAAACAATGAAGGGTACGTATCAATATCATTAAAAATGATGAAAAATTGAAAACCCAGATGCAAAAAACAAAGAAAGACAAAAATTGCAATAGTTAAAAAAAGAAACAAAGGAAAAATAGGACCTACCATGCAAGATAGATATCCAAAAAAAGAGAAAAACCCAGAAAAAGGGGAAATGAATGAAAAAATTAGAAACCCAAAAATGGTATAGATAGATAACAGAATTAAGATGATGATGAAGAAGAAGAATATGGAAGAAGATTATGAGGGAGGAGAGAGAAAGAGGGAAGCTGGAAAAAAGGGGTTGACAGGCAGAGCTGTGATTACGGGGGGTAGAGGCTGGAGAATCGGGCGGTGTTAGAAAGTTCTATGCGTTGGGTTTGCGAGTGAAATAGGGAGATTGGAGATTCACAAGGAGAGGAAGAGAGAGAAACAATTTTATCAACCATGAAATTGTATTGTTTTTGTTTGTTTGTTTGCAATTGCAGAGGAGCTAGCTTTGATTTTTTTTTTTTTTTGAAAATAGCTAACGTTGATTTATGAACCCTTTTATGCTTCATTTCTAGGCACCCATTTCTTGTTCCAATTTCCCGATTTTCCCGGGGAAAACACTCGCTAGTGTGATTTGTTTAGGGGGTAGTGGGTGAAAGTTCGGCTTTCGGTTTAGGTTTGATTCGCTTTGAAATTATATGAATTAGGATTGTGGTTCAATCTGATTTAAAATTAAGTAATTCAAATTTAATATCAATTCTAAATATTTTTTGTTAGTGGACCTTACGCATTACTAATAATCGAGTTTTATGAGGTGTTTAATAATGATCTTCATAACCTACAGAAATTTAAAAGTAACTTTTAGAGTTTTAGTGGTGGTAAAATTATATGAATTAGGATTGTGGTCCAATCTGATTTAAAATTAAGTAGCTCAAATTCAATATCAATTCTAAATATTTTTGGTTAGTGGACTAGTGGACCTTACGCATTACTAATAATCGAGTTTTATGAGGTGTTTAATAATGATCCTTACAACCTATAGAAATTTAAAAGTAACTTTTAGAGTTTTAGTGGAGGTAAAATCAATTTTTTTAAAACTTTTCAATGGTGTTAAATTATTTTTTTTATTTTTATTTTTTTTATTTTTTTATTTTTTTTAAGTGTTAAAAATCATTTTCGTATTTTTTGAGGTGTTAAAAATAAAAATTTCCTATTTATTATACACCCAATTTTATAAAATAGCTTGATTAGTCTTATAAATTAACCTTTTTTTTTTGGAAAGATGGAAATAAATAATCTCACCTTTGCGTAGTCTGACAATAACAATCCCACCTTTTGATTATTAAGAGGCAATCCCACCTTTGTATGTCATCTTCTTTTAACAGACCTTTTTACCTAAAACATGTTAAACAGGTTAAAATGTTTTTTTTTTTTTTTTAAAGTCACGTGTCGCTCAATAATTGGTCAAAATAAAAAAAAGTTAAAAACAAAAACAGGTAAAAATAATTTTTTAAAAAAAAGAAAGAAGAAAAAAACCCACCACCCACCCCCAGCCACCGTGAAACCCTATCCCTTACCCTAGCCTCGCCAAAAACTGGCCGGCCGCCGCCTTAAACCCTTGAAAACGGCCGGCCGGAACCCCCCCAAAACCACCCCGCCGACCAAAACCCACCCCCGACATCACCCCATGACCCTAATCCCATCCCCGAAACCACCATGACCACCATAGGCCAAAGCCACCACCCTGAAAACCCTACCTAGCCGCCGTAAACCCACCGAAACCCCACCCAGCCGCCGAAAACTCCATCCCTAACCACCCCAAAAATCCCCACCCCTAGCCCCAAAAACCCCCCCTTAAACACCCTAAAAACACATCCCTGGTGCCGGTCGACCATTTTCGGAGGTTAAGGAGGGTGGCCGGTCGTTTTTTGGTGGTGGCTGGGGTAGGGGCTAGGGTTTCACGACGGGGGCTGGTGGCTAGGTTTTTTTCTTTTTTTTTTATTTTGTTTTCTGTATTTTGTTTTTTTTTTAATTAAAAAAATGAAATAAACTTATTAATTTTTGACACATGGCATATAACCTATAAAAATCGGTCACTAACAAGTCACGGTCTATTAAAAGAAGATGACATGCAAAGGCGGAATTGTCTCGTAATAATCAAAAGGTGGGATTGTTTTTGTCAGACCACGCAAAAGTGGGATTATTTATTTCCATTTTTCCTTTTTTTTTAAAATGAGTATTCTATTCACCTGATTTTCACTCCATCTTAGGTTATTATATGAATTTATCTACCAATAATTGATTGTTGGTGTAGTGGTAATTGAGGCTGCACTTAATAGGGAGCTAGGACTGTGTGTTCGATCCCCCACAACAGCAATTAGGAGAAGACTAGAACCTAAGCACTCAGAATTGAGCTCCGAATCCGGATTAACCCAAAGGGTGAATCGGGTGGAGCACCAATTTTTTTATTTTTTTTATTTTTTTATTTTTTATGACAAAAAAAAAATGAAAAGAATAACATCGACCTATTACAACTTTTCAGGGGTATTCCATGTAATTTTTTTTTGTTTTTTGTTTTTTGTTTTTTTTTTTTTTTTTCTGTTTTTCTTATCAAAACATTCTCAATTAGGTAAATTTGATAATCCCGTAATATTCATGCCTCTCCAAAGAGCTTGTTCATCACCTGTCTTGCTCTGAGGAACAAGCTGTCAAGCTAGTTACTAAAGACATGATGCAATCATGGAATATACAATGTGATCCTGGTTGTTTTTTATGTGCTCAAGAGCTGGAAACTGTCCAACATTTTTTTTTTAGTTTCCTTTTGCCAAGACCAGGGGAGGACCCACGTGTAGTCATAGTGTGTCACAGGACAACCTATTATTTTATAAAAAAATTAAACACTAAATGTCAAGAAGTTCAGCTTGCAGCCTAGTGGTTTTTTTACCACCCATCACACGCGAGATGTGGGTTCAAACCCCATTACTGACATTTTTTTCTTTTTTTTGCTTTATAACCTCACACCCAATTTTCAACATTTAGAAATTAAAACTTGGGATTCAGAACATTTCCCCCAAATTGTAAAACCCTAAGTCTCTAACTCCCCTAAATCGAAATCCCGAGACCCCACCCGCAGGCCCGTAGCCCCGCCACCGTTCACCGGCCAGTTTAAGCTCCGTACTCCGTCACTCCATTTTCTCACCGTCGCCAATATATGGTTCATCCGTCAATGTCAATATGTGGCTCATACTTTGTGGAAAATCAATACTTTGATGTATGTTGCTCAATTACAATCCATTGTCGCTTCTGCTGCTCACAAATTTCCCGATCTTCTTCTCTGTTTTGATCTTCTCTCCGATCTCATTTCCGCCATTAATGACGAGCCTAAGGTTCCATTTCTTAGTTTTTTTCTCCTTTTTATCTTTTTTCTACTTGATTAGATCTATGTTGCTGCTAATTGTTCAAAATCATGGAATTTCAGCATGTTTAAGTTTGTATTGAAATCAATTTAATTATTTTTAGGTTGTTTAAGTTGAATTTTGAGAATTCTAGTTGCAAATTATACTGGCATTTGGATTGTTTTAGAGAATTATTAAGTTTTGATTGGGAATTCTTGCTTAAATTATGAATGGGCTTGATATGGATTGAATTAGGAACCTATTATGTATTTATGTTATGGCAAAGAAAATGTGAAGATACATTGTTTTCGCTGCTGGTTTTGGGTGGGCGGAGGCCGGTGCGGCACTTGACATAGTTAGCTATGGTTAAAATTATCTGGAAAGGAGATCCTAGTTCGATATACTCAAGGGCTAGTGCTCTTCAAGGGTTTCTTGCTGACCATTCACATGCAGGAGGGTGGTTTTGGTGGTGGTGTAGGAGGAGGGAGTGGTTGTTGGGGCTGGGCTGGGAAGTGGCTGTTGGGCTGGGTGGGGAATTGTTTAATTAATTTTTTTTAGAAAAAAATAGACCATTCACATGCAGACACGTGTCGAGTAACCTGCTTTTTTTATGTATTTTTTTTTTGCTAATCATACAAGCTTTGACTATTTTTTAATATTATATACGGTCAATAGACAATGATGGGACAACCTATTACTCAAATCCTGGATCCGCCACTGGCCAAGACTGTGTGGTTGAAATTGAAAGTGCTTGCCTTATTTGACTACAATATATCAATTTGGACTTTTGATGCTTAGATTCATTAGATTCTAGAATTTGCAGAAAGACCGGGTCTAAAAATAGGTTGCTAGGTATGTGTGGTTGCTGAAGCTGTGTATCACATCTGGTTGTATAGAAATGCTTTGATCTTTACAGGAGGCTGCAAACCTACTTATACAGTTTTTAGAGATATTTTGTTTGTTGTTGCTTGTAGGTGTTCTGCTAGTCATAGGCATCTGCTAATTTGTGATTGATTTTGTTGTGTTGTTTAGTCCTGGTTAAGAGTACCCTTCCTAGAAGGTGCCTCTTACTCCTGAGTCCAGTTAGGTTTTTGTCCCTTTCTCTTATGGGAACCCTCCCTAGAAGGTGTCCTTGATGAATTATATTTATATGCGATTTATAGGCATGTTTATGCTACTTTATATTTGCTTTTTAGGTCTTTTAGTCGCTTTTTAAGTCGCAATGCATAAGTAGTCCATTTTGTGCTCAATTACACTTCATTTGTATTTTATTAATGTTTCAGGTAGTTTTTATAACTATTTGGACACTTTCAGAGTGGTTTTGGATGAATGGGACAATGAAAGGATAAAAAGTTGATGAACCGAAGTCATTGAATGAAAGATATGTGTTTATGGTGGCTTAGGTCAAGATTTATATGCATACAAATGAAAGTAGCATCCACAAGGCTCGATATGCACCTTTCGAGAATGAATTTGAGTTAGAAACGAAGTTAAACGACGATTTACAACAAAGTGACAAATCTGACCCTTGTCCACTCTTTTAATCATAACTTGATCTCTACACATCGAATTGAGAAAACCAAACTTGAAAAGCTTTCCAACAAAATAAATAAATAAATAAATATATATATATATATATATATATATATATATATATATATATATATATATATATATATATATATATATATATACACACGCTTCTTAGAATGAGAAATTTGGCATATTCGAAATTGTCCTACGCCTGTAGACCGTCAGACGCCCCATATATTCATGCTAGCTTATTATCATCGCTTCGTCATCACCGTTGGCCAATCACTATGCTTATATACTTCTTTATTTTTCTTATTTCTTTTCTTTAATTATTTTTAGATTAGAATTTAGAAAGCTTATAAATACGTACTCCAAGGGATTATTTATTTTCCCTTATGCCTTTTATTTTTTGATACGTCCGTTTTCTTAGCCCTAGTTTCTCATAGACAACTCCATGGATTGTCCATGAATTGTTCTTGAGTTTATTGCTTTTATTTACAAAACTATTTTATTTCTCTCTTTTAATTATGTTTTCTTTATTAGATTTATTTTTAATAATTATTTCAATTCATGCTTGAGTAGTTTTTTTTTCTAGGGTTTGGGTGTAATACCCGCATATTTTATATCTTATAATATATAAAAATCAGATTTTATGTCACATATTTATGCTATTAATAGAGGTTTAAAACCTTATTTTAATTTAAATATAACTCTTTTTTTTAAGCTTATATAACTATTTTAACCCTATTATGTTTTTGATACATAATATTGTGCTGCCGTTTTGATATAAAATTCCTAGCTTTCTCTTCTTTCTCTTTACTCCATTCTGTTCGTGGGTTTATAACAGCAGTCTGCTATTAATCTTTAGAATGATCATCATTTGGTCAAACCAATTAATTTTATTCCAAAGTTTCTGAGTCAGGCGCATAGGCTGTGATCAAGCAGTCAAAACCTTTCTTTAATATTTGGTTAATTATTTCCGAAAGGTAATCACACGCATCTTTTGGTTATTGTTTAATTATACCACAATCATGTTTTTAATTTGTAATCTAATATTTTGAAAATAATAATTTTTTTTTTTTTTTTTTTTTTTTTTTTTTTTTTTTTGTTGTGTGTGTGTGTATTTGATGATCTGTGACTTCATGGAATTGGAGTGATATTGA